TTCTTCAGAAGAAGTCGTTTGAAGTGTTTGACACATTTGACCCCTGTGACCTTGAAAGAAGGTCAAGGTAATTTTCATTCTCAAACTTTGTTGGGCTCCATCCAAGGAAGCCATCAGCCAAATATGGAGATTCTATACCTTTTAATTCTTCAGAAGAAGTCGTTTGAAGTTTTTGACATATTTGACCCCTGTGACCTTGAAAGTAGGTCAAACTAATTTTCATTCTCAAACTTTGTTGGGGTCTATCCCAGGAAGCCATCAGCCAAATATGAAGATTCTATACCTTTTAGTTCTTCATTAGAAGTCGTTTGAAGTGTTTGACACATTTGACCCCTGTGACCTTGAAAGTAGATCAAGGTCATTTTCATTCTCAAACTTTGTTGGGCTCTATCCCAGGAAGCTACCAGCCAAATATAAAGATTCTATACCTTTCAGATCTTCAGAAGAAGTCGTTTGAAGTTTTTGACATATTTGACCCCTGTGACCTTGAAAACAGGTCAATGTCATTTTCGTTCTCAAACTTTGTAGGGCTCCTACCAACGAAGCTTTCAGCCAAATATCATGACTCTAGGCCTGTCAGTTCTTCAGAAAAAGTTGTTTAAAGGAAAAGTTGACGGACGAGGACGGACGGACGGACGGACGGACAGACGGACGACGGACGCCGCGCCACGGCATAAGCTCACTTGGCACTTCGTGCCAGGTGAGCTAAAAATGGTAGTCCTTAATCCCAGCATGTTAATGGCCAAATAGCATCACCCTTAGCCTTTTGCTTATTGAGAAGAAGTCATTTAAAGGTTTTAAACATATTTGACCCCTGTGACCTTTAATATATGTCAAGGTTATTCGTTTGAACAAACTTGGTAGTCCTTCATCCTAGCATACTACTGGCCAAACAGCATCATCCTAGTACTTTTGGTTATTGAAAACATGCTGTTTAAAGGTTTTAAACATATTTGACCATTGTGACCTTGAATATTTGTCAAGGTAATTCATTTAAACAAACTTGGTAGCGCTTCATCCGGCATGCCACAGGCCAAATATTATAACCCTCAGCCTCTAGGTTATTCGGAAGAAGTAGTTTTAAAGGTTTTAAACATATTTTACCCCTGTGACCTTGAAATGGGTGAAGGTCATTTGTTTTAACAAACTTGATAGCCCTTCATCCCAGCATCTAACTGGCAAAATATCATAACCCTAGGCCTCTTGGTAATTCAGAAAAAGTCATTTAAAGGTTTTAAACATATTTGACCCCTGCAACCTTGAAAATGGGCGAAGGTCATTCGTTTGAACGAACTTGGTAGCCCTTCATCCAAGCATGTTACTGGCCAAATATCATCATCCAGGGCCTTTTGGTTATTGAGAAGAAGTTGTTTAAGGGTTTTAAACATATTTGACCCCTGTGACCTTGAAAATGGATGAAGGTCATTCATTTGAACAAAATTGGTAGCCCTTCATCCAAGCATGCTACTGGTCAAATATCATCTCCCTGGGCAATTTGGTTATTGAGAAGAAGATGTTTAAAGTTTTTAACATATTTGACCCCTGTGATCTTGAAAATAAGTGAAGGTCATTAATTTTAACAAACTTTGTAGCCCTTCATCCAAGTTTGCTTCTTGCCAAATATCGACACCCTAGGCCTTTCGGTTATTAAGAAGAAGTCGTTTAAAGTAAAATATTGACGCCGGACGGACGGACAGAAGACGGACGCCGCGCCACGGCATAAGCTCACTTGGCACTTCGTGCCAGGTGAGCTAATAAAAATGGTTCAGCGTCATGTTGGGACATTTGTACGCTACACAGGTACCACTAGCCAAGTTTCAGTTTTTCTCTGGCTTGGGTGGATAACGTTGTCTAAGGTTTTGCTGGCTACTATTTGCTATGAATGACGTTACACATATTTTTTTTACGTCATATCAGTATCTATTACGTAAACATTTTTTTTTAAACTTTCCATAGAGGTATAACATGTTGTTCAAGGTGATTGTATAGTTTTATATGATCGTTTGAATATGAAGTGATTCAATGTATTTTTCCATGTTGTTTCTGGAGTAAACACAATTGGGTCTATGCATAAATTGTTGACCTCATAGTACAACAACGTCATAATCGGACATTTCAAAACCACGCTGAAATCTTGGCCTCGACAGAAAATAAGGGTTTCACTGACTGGCAGCGAAAGGGTTAAACAACAGGAGTAAAGTCCATCTTCAAAACTATACAGTGGAGACAATTGTTAGGGCAGTAAAGGGTCACTCTGCATAAAATCACTGCACACTATTGTTTCCATATTATTATTTTATACTGCATGATCCTATTTGAGCATTTTCAACACTGCTTACTCAAGTTACTGCAGCTGTGACCCAAATGAAGTTTTGTTGATATTGTTTAAGAGCCGTCAACTCGATGACACCTCGAAGGTACACAGAATCATGATTTACTGTAGAACCAGACACGAACATCAATCTCAAAAGTAGTAATTAGGTCTACTATCATGCTATTTTGTCTTACTAACATGTTTCTATGGTAACTATCCGATATCAACACCAATCAGGAAATCAAGAATGTCAAATTCTGATAGTTGACATCACGTTCACTTGCTGTGAACATGACACTTGTCGATGGAGTTAAATAATATTAAGACGTATATTACATAATGTACAAGCCACATAACCACGCCGGTAGACAAGAATTTCTTACCATTATTTCACGTTACGTTAGATTCAACTGCAGCATCTTTTTTTCCCAAGCGATATCCGCCTTATTTAAACAAATAACATTAGAGAGCGCTGTTTGCAAGGGAGGTTACTCTACAGAATCGTACCTGTGATTATGATCCAGAATTTCTTAGGGAAAATTACAAATGAATAATGTCTAAAATTTCAGTGAACATTGATTGCATACCTTCTATTTGGCGTTCCATACATATATTGTGTAGATTGTAAGTTTTCCTGTAGCCAGACTGTGACTCAATGAAAGACGTCAATTTGCTTATGTTATTACGAAATATGTCTACTTGGACAAAATGGAAAATAACCACACCACGTTATAATTTTGCGACGGAAATTTTTATGTTATATTTCACTGTGGTTGTGTAATAGATCTACACTGTAAATGAAAATGGCTTTTTCAAGTGATAATTCTAATTTTGGCCCCGGATACGACAGACATATACGTATATATGTCTCTGAAATATCTAAATCCGTGGTTAACCAAAGAATCTGATTCGTTTTTTGATTAACTAGAATACGAATGTTTTGATCACTTTTTTTCTAATGAGCATCGCTTCAATTATGTCCATTGAATCTGGTCGAATTCAAGCAAGAGTGAGCGACTGACATATATATATATATATATATATGTGTGTGTGTGTGTGTAAATAAAGACGTATACGTATACAGAGTTTATGACTACAATGGTAGTTAATAGGTCTATTCATACTGAGTAAAATGAAAATGACGTATATTGCATTTAAATATGTACTTTAAAAAATACTACAAAGCATTGGTATAATTGCGATAACTGGCCATGGGGGTTCCACCGATAAATTGATTTTGGGTTTTAGCATCTTTTTATTTTCTAACTGAAAATCTCTAATTTAACACACACAAAAAATCAAACTTAAAACATAAATACAAGAAAAAAATCCTTCTCCGCTCGCTGATGAATATTAATCTGACCCTCGTATAGTTTGATAGAATATCAGTTCCTTATGTTTTTTTTGTTATTCTATTTCTCCTCATACGACTTTATACACATTTTCAAAGTACTAGTACTTTTATTGGACCTCTTGATAGCTTACTTAAGTCTGTATGCCACCATTAGTTTAAACATATTTTATTGCCAAGCAAATGGATTGGGCACAAGTTATCAAACTTATATTAAGCCCTTTCCTAGCAAATTACAAGCATATATTTACAATAGTACAACAAGATGGCAGAATTAATTTACATATATACACTATTTCATTTTTAAATGCTTTAATTTTTAAATTGAAATTATAAGAGAGAGACAGAGAGAGAAAAGGGGGGAAGGGGGAAGAGACAGGGGGATAATAGTCTGTAATTATAATACATACATCCTCATCATTATTAATGTATGACATATAGTATCTTCCTCTTAGAGAGAGTGGATATTATGGTTCAATTGAGAGAGAGGGAGAGAGAGGGGACAAGGGGGAGGGGGGGGGGGTACTAGAATCTGTTAGAGTCACGAATGTATTGCTGAGTATGCATGAATATCGTTATGTTTTCCTGTTCCGAAAGAGATGTATCTCCAAATAGAAGTAGATTTAAATTAAGAGGCATGTATTCATTCAGTTCACGATAAAGCTTAATTCTTTGTTCGTTATATATATCACAGGTAAAAAAGAAATGGTGTGTGTCTTCAATAGGGAAGCCACATATACAACGTTGGTAATCAATGAGGTTAACACGAAACAGGTCACTTTTCAAAGTACTAGAACGGTTTCTTAATTTTGTATGCAAAATATTATTTTTCCTATCACCATAGAAAAAGGGGTTTGGTACAAGCGGCAAGTTTACGTCTTGAATGGCGTTTCTAAATGATGAGAACGTGGCACTACGTCGTATACTAGTAGGTAACTGGTTCCACAGTCTAACAGTAGAAGGAAAAAAGGATACGTTAGATAATTCAAGTCTGTTGTTAGGTAGGTTGTAGTTTTCAACGTTTCGAAGATTATAGTGAGAGTTATCGACAAGGGAAGGGAGTAGAGTGTTGAGATAGTTAGGGGCTATATTATTGTGGATTTTAAAAAATAATTGAAGTTTTCGACGGGATCTCCGATGGGCTAGAGAATCCCATCCAGTTTCATTGTATATAGATTGTCTACTAGTAAACGACGGTAAACCAGTGACAATACGTCCAGCTTCAAGTTGTAATTTTTCTAATTTGTCTGAATCAGTAATAGAACAACCATCCCAAAGTTCACAACAATATTCTAGAATAGGAAGTATAAATGTTCTATATATTTTATTCAGTGTACGTCGGTTCAGGGTATATTTCAATTTACGGAGGACACTTAATTGTTTAACTACTTTTTTACATATATTATCAATGTGATAGGTCCATTTACAGTTAGCATTGATGAATACTCCCAGATGCTTATGATTTTCAACAAATTCAATACTTACATTATTAAAGTTAATTTCAATGAGGTGATCAAGATCAATATTAGAAATAAGTAAAGCCTCTGTTTTTGCAGGATTGAATTTGACAAGCCACTTATCTGCCCACAATTGTATATTTACTAGATCATTATTAATTTTTTGTTCAATTACTTGTGGTGATTTATCCGAATACAAAAGAGAGGTGTCATCAGCAAATAGTTTTGATAGACTTTCTATATTATCTGTTATGTCATTAATATAAAGTATAAACAGCAATGGGCCAAGAACCGAACCCTGAGGTACTCCTGCATTTGTTCTCTTAGCAGAAGATCTACTATTTCCAATAAAAACTTGTTGAGATCTATTAGTAACATAATCAATTAACCAGTCCAATAACTTTCCCGATATTCCATAGCTAGCTAGTTTCACTTCCAGTCCCCTATGCCACACTCGATCAAACGCCTTAGAAATATCACAAAAAATTAGGCAAGTTGGCTGTTTTTTTTCTAGATTGTCGCACATAGTATGATATATTTCTATAAGCTGGTGTACAGTAGAGTGACCTGGTTGAAAACCTGACTGATATTTATATATGAGAGAATTATCTAAAAGGTAGTTATGTAAATATTTAGCGACTAATCTTTCGAAAACTTTACCAATAGTACTTAGTAGTGCAATAGGTCTATAATTTGAAGGGTCTTGTTTATCGCCCTTTTTAAAAAACGGCATAACTAGAGCATGTTTCCATTGTTTGGGAAAAGATCCAGTTTCCAAAGATGAGCGAAAGATCAATGAAAGAGGATAAGCAACTGAATTAGAGGTATTCTTTAGCATGGTATGACTAATAGTATCCTTTCCTACAGCTTTACCGATTTTTAATGTCTTAAGAATGTCGATAATGTCATTAATATTAAACGGTATGTCTGAAATGGTCGAGTCTGTTCTAGGTTCTATAACAGGTACGTCAATGTTAGTATCGTCTAGAGTAGATATTGAAACAAAGTAATCGTTTAGTATATTAGTCTTTATGTCGTCATCCATTTCTATATCACCATATAGGTGTAAGACTCGATACGCTGTATATAGCCTTTCCGTAATACTATTTGATATGACAGGAGCTTATCTCAGTAATTAGGCAATGTTATAGTTAAGCCATGATTGTAGTTTAGAAGAATTGACAAAATTCCAGGCTTATTTCACCACTGTCCGTAGCTGGCCTGTCAATTTATTGAGGGAGTGATCTTGATCTTGGAACAATTATTTTATAGAAAATCGTTTGGTTTACAAGCAAAATCATTTTACATGGCATCAACTAATTGAAGTTTATCAAAAAATGAAGGCAAATAAACATACGTGTGCTAACTCTTCACCAACCAAAGGCGTATCTTTTTTTAATCATATATTGACCTTAGAAGTAAGGGGACCGGGGCAAGTTCGGCAACCCCTGATATTTCTGGTTGTTCAGTTGACGTCCTGTTCACAAGAAAAAATGGTGAGGGAAACGATTTTTTTAAATAACGAAAAGGGAGCAAGTTACTTTTAGGAGGGTAGAGAGAAAATCATAACCTCCTTCAGTTTTTTTCGAGATTTGCGACTTTTCTGTAAACCGAGTAGTTACCTTTATTTACGCCATACGTTTAACACGCTGACTGCTTCACATGATGGTGTACATAGAAGCCATGCACTGACTTCCGTACCCCTGTAATATACGAATTTCTAGAAATATCAATTTGGGTCGGGTTCGGCCCATGCAACACATGGAAAGTCGTAAAATTGCCGGGGAAATTTGACCCTGCTTGGTTTATGACGTCATAATTATGCTGATTCCAATGTTGTCAGAACTTACTCCAATGCCAATACGACCTGACCCCCTAGGGGGAACTTACTATAGTCTTCGCGGGTAAAAAAGGCTTATAATTTGTTTTCGTATATCTACAAAAACATGTAAAGTTTCATACTTGATAGAAAATAGAATAAGTGGCTTTTATGGCATGCAACATGGAGCTGTGACACACTGGAAGTTCCTAAAAGTGGAAATAGTTGTTGAGGTGAGAAGCATTGGCTGTGTTATAGCTATAACTATAACTATAACTATAACTATAGCTATAACTATAACTATAACTATAACTATAACTATAGCTATAACTATAACTATAGCTATAGCTATAACTATAACTATAGCTATAACTATAACTATAACTATAACTATAACTATAGCTATAACTATAACTATAGCTATAACTATAACTATAACTATAACTATAACTATAGCTATAACTATAACTATAACTATAGCTATAACTATAACTATAACTATAACTATAACTATAACTATAACTATAACTATAACTATAACTATAACTATAACTATAGCTATAACTATAACTATAACTATAACTATAACTATAACTATAACTATAACTATAACTATAACTATAACTATAACTATAGCTATAACTATAACTATAACTATAACTATAACTATAACTATAACTATAACTATAACTATAACTATAACTATAACTATAGCTATAACTATAACTATAACTATAACTATAACTATAACTATAACTATAACTATAACTATAACTATAACTATAACTATAACTATAACTATAGCTATAACTATAACTATAACTATAACTA